TACCGCTTGTGTCTACACAAAACATCGTGAGTATTCACGCACTCCCCTATTTTCGTTTTTTATGTTTTGGGGTGGAAAAGCATGTCCAGAAAAACTATTGTTTGCATGTTGTACTTAAATTGAATTGTATCAAACATGATTGCTATTGTATTGCTATGTTTCTTTATGTATGTCTATGCAACACGGAACATGAGAACTTATCGTACAAAGGCCCTTCCCTTATCTCTAACCATTAACTCTTTGAGCCAATGGTCGTTATGGATAGCGCTATTAGGAATTGACAACTCCTCACTCGCCCGAATCGCTGGAGTGCATGATACCATATTCATCTATGGAACGATAAGCATAGATCTCGATAGGGCTTCAGTCATAGGTTTGGTTGAGACTCATTGTTTGCTCATACACATACAAACTCGTTTCTCGTTATAGCAATAAACTTGTATTCATTAATAGCAATCAACTTGTTTATCATTGAAGCAATGTACTTGTATTTACGAAAAGCCTTATTGTACGCTCGATTTTATAAACTTGTGATACTCACCAACTATTTTCATAGTTGACGCTCGTTTTACATGCTTTTTCAGGAAATAATTAGTAAGTGGATGTAAAGATTCATCATCATAGAGCATGCTGCATCGTGTTGAAGCTATTATGAAGCTATATTTTGAACAATGTTATTTTGAAAAACTTGTATTTTGTTCTTTTGAAGCTATGGGTTGTAAACTTTTAAATACTGCTATGGTGATGTATCTTTATCTTTTGCAATGAAACCGTTATCGCTGTCATACCTTGCGTTTCCGCTTTAGCGGGGTGTGACAAGTAATAATTTAGGTTTCAATGTAAACAATATTGTCACGACCGATTACATAACAAAGATCACAAAATAGTTTCCCCTGAGTGTGTGTACGATCACGCCGGCGCCTTCCCACGGTCCTCACTAGTACCTGAAACACATAACACAACAACTGTAAGCATAAATGCTTAGTGAGTTCCCCAAAATACAACCTACGCACATACGCCTTTCCAGGCCCTGACCTTCCGGTCCATGTGTCTCAAGGGACTTCCGTCCCGTCTGGGTAAACCTTCCGATCCTACCCACGTCAACCTTACGGTCCATTTTACAACGCCTTCCGGCCCATAACATAATGCCTTCCGGCCCGTAACAAGCATACCATACATGGCACATATAACGATTAACTTATCACACAATAATGCATATATCTCATATCATATTTGACCTTTCGGTCACATAGTCAAACCCTTCCGGGTACAGTATAGTGAGAAGACTCACCTCGTATGTCTCGATAACTCGCGAACCCTGGACAATTCGTGCTCGAACCCCCGAGCTATAATCCTCCTATAACATCATATATCTATAATTAATACTTGTACCACTAAGGTTGACCTTCCCTATCAAGTCAACACTGGTCAACTGTGGTCAACAGTCAATGGTCAAATTGACCGGACTCGGCGAGTGCACTAGAGTGACTCGGCGAGTCTACGCGTTTTCACTAACTCGCGAGGATTTTCCTTTTGGCAAGTCGAGTACTCCCCTGACTCGACGAGTTCCACCTGGTCATGAATCACGAGGCCACCGCGACTTAACTCGCCGAGTCGCAAGGACAACTCGGCGAGTCCCAACTTGACTCGGTCCACCTGTGAATACCTCTCTAACTCTCTGTGACTCACTGAGTCACCCACAACTCGGCAGGACTACACTGGGTCGTTTTAAGGAAAATCTTCAAGCTACTCGTCGAGTCTGTTCTTCAGACTCGGCGAGTCCATGCCATGCATCAGCTAAAACTTGCTTCTGCGGTCAGATCCGTTCCATACACACATAGATATGGCCTTCCCAAGCTCATTTATCACGTAAAGTCTCAGTCTTGACCGCCATGCAACACTTACAAGGCTCTTTTTGGGGAAATAACCTCTAATATGGCAACCCTAGTCTCCAACTCAAAAGAATGGACATAAAGCACATCATTTGGGGCCTTCTGGACCTGCTAAGGTCCAGATCTAGGTTCCATATCTCCATGGGACCTTTCATACTTCAAATACAAGTCAAATAAGGCAAGAAGAAACCCTAGATTTGACATATCAACCCAAAACACAAAGATTAGCTCTGAAAGTTACCTCAAGAAGCTTCCCTTGAAGAAATAGAAGCAGATCCAAGCTCCCCAACTCTTCTAGCTTGATCTTCTCCTTCCTTTCTTGCAATAATACACAAATTGGTGAACAAATAGCCTCTTATCTCACTCACAAGGACTCTCAGCTGATTTGGTGCACTCAAGGCTCAAGGTGGCCATAATGAAGGTCCATAAGGTCCTTTAAATAGGGCTTAGGACCGGAAAATTAGGGTTTCATTAAACAGCGCGGACTCGCCGAGTCCATCCCTTGGACTCACCGAGTCCAGATGCGAACCTTCGTCCAAAACCGCGACCCGACTCGGCGAGTTCGACCTCCAACTCGCAGAGTCCCCCCACAAAATACCAAAAATATGAAATTTAAGATATCTGGAGATCCGGGTTGTTACATTAAAGACTTGAACGTCTTAAAAAATATTATTATTATATTATTTCTATTTATAGAAATAGTAAGATTTCTTTTATAAGGTAGTATATATATATATATATATATATATATATATATTAAAAATTGAAAACAATGGTGTAACAAATTTGTATAAGACTGGAGTTTAAGTGAAAAAGACGTGTTTAAGTGTTGATTGGAAGGAAGAATAATGGTTGACTAGAATTTGTAGCCTTAGGTTAGCCAACTATTAGACATGTCTGGAATTTGTGGCCTTAGGTTAGCCAACTATTAAACATGTCCTAAAGAGGATTAAATTCTTATTTATGTAGTTTCTTTAATTTGCTTGTAAGCAAATGAAAACAAAGGGGAATATGTACTGAATTTCTTGTTAGAAGGGCCATGTAATCTCGAATGGAATGTGAAGATATATACAAGGATATAGTATTCATTGATGCATTGAGAGTTTTTATTTGTATTTTTAATTAGTTATGTAAAAGGAGTGGTCAAGACTACTCACAGTACTTATATAATGAAGATTGGCAATGAAAGAAGATGCGTCAAAGGCACACCATTATTTTAATATAAATGTGACATGTTGATCCTATAAATTTAGTTTAAATATGCATATATAATGGCATGCATATATGTTGTAACATGTACCACTAAGAGGATAATACCTTGAAATCTACGTGGATTTTTTTAAAATTGGTCTGGCAGGGACATTTATTTTATGAAAGATGTCTATTTCGAGATGTGGATAATTCACTAGGTTATGAGAGGAAATGTTGCAAATGCTCTATCGTTAAGATTAATTTTCAAGATCCAAATGGAATGTAATGCTTGATACTGATAGTAACTTGGTGAAGTTGTCTTATAATCCTCGATTGCATATCATTAATATGAGATAGTTAATGTCATGTGTAAGCTAATGGTCTTATTTATATAACGCTTATGAGAAACCCTAATTTATGCCACGCGCATTGATTATCAATGTTTCCACGAGATTGAATACATCAAATCTTAGTATTCTCATATTTATATTATTTACAAGAGAGCGATATTTTCGTCATCAAAATATATTTCCTTTCCTTATAGTAATATTGATGATAAGGTTGGGTTACAGTTTGAATGGTATATATTGTGTGGGTGTAAGGATGAATGTAGATTAGTGGTTTTAGTTATTATAAGAAAGTGATTTACCTACATTAATAAATTAAAGAAAATTGAATATATGCCATTTAACTAAAATAAGGGTAAGAGTATACATTTTCATTATTTTCAAATAAGGAACACAACTTTAATGAAATTTTGGTGTTCTAAGGGATCTTTGATTATCTTGATTTTGAATTATGGTTTTTTAATTAATTCACTTTTACTTATAATGTAATTTTTAGTTTTATCCCATTTTATTCTCTCAGAATGACATTAGAATGATAATCTATATGAAAATTACATATTTTGATAGAATACATATTTTTATTGAATGAATTCTTGAATAAAAACAACATGTTTAATTATTGCCAAATCACATAGGCATGGAGTCGTTTCTAACTGCTATACTTTTTTCAAACAAATCCTTGCTCAAATTGGTGCATGGTGTTCATTTGTTGAACACGTTTTTTTTATCACTTGTGTACATAGACTCACAGACATATATGAAAAAAAATTACTTCATTTTCGAAGATAAAAGACATAATAACACTACTTTGTCCTCTTTTTGCAGATAATGTGGAAATATCTTATAATGTTTGAAAATATATCTAACACTTACCTAACATACTTGTGATTCTATCTTCTCGGTAGTTTTTCCTTTTATTGTTATTCTTTGCTTGCTGTTTTATTTTTCCAAACACTCACCTCTTAAAGTTTGTCTTTCTTTCTTGTTCTTTGTCGATTTATTTTTGATTTTCTTTTGTTATATTTTCCAATTTGTGATTTTTTATGTTATAAAAAATACATTTTAATTAGCAAACTTAATACAAAAACAATCTATTTATGCAAATGAGTTATAGACTTCTAGTCTACATATTTTTCTCGTAGACTTGAAAAAAAAAACTTAAAACTTTCTCTTATAAAACAAACATAATATTAGTCATTCCTCAAAATTAAAACTCAAACAATCATATAAACCGCTAAATGACTTAGAATCTTAACCATTTTTTTTTTTTTAATATAAATTTATATGTCAATAATACTATTACATTATATATGTAATACTCATTGTGATTTATATGATTTGTTAAGTTAATCTTGGTAAAAACTCAAATTGTATATGAAGTATTTGACCGTTATTTACACAGCTTTTATGAATCAATTTATCAAATCAAATGGTTATAGTTTTTTTTTTTTTTTTAAAATCCTAAATATAAGAAATTAGAAAAAAACAAAAATATAAATAATTATAGTTTTATTTATGAAAGTGATCCCATATGATTGAAACAAATGGATCTCTATATCTTTTAATTGACCTCATACAAGGGGTACTTAGCATAATTCTCCGTCACACAGATCCGACTCCATGAAAATCAATAAATTTTGGTGGTGATTTTGAAGAAGCCAATGGAGGTTGTTGATCATCGACAGTGGTTGCTAGGGTGAGGTTCAAATTCACTGATGGAGTTTGATGCAAGGTTCCAGTTGGCGGCTTGTATGTCTCTCTATTCACCATGCGACCACGTAATTCCGATACCGTCTTACATATACCACAATCTGCCATGAAGCTCCTTTGTCCATACTCCACTATAAAACAAAGAAAAAATTACGTGAATTGGGTCTATATATAAATATGTGGTAGTACATATAAAAACATATCAACATGAATGATAGTTACCATCATAAGACAAGTTCAATCTGCAGGCTATACATTTATAATTTTTTATGTACTTGCTCAGTTCTTCTTGTTCCATAGTTGGCATCTTCTTTGGGATGAGGCGATGATAGTCATTGGAAACACTTTCTTGAGCACTAGTAACAATATTTGAATGTTATTAATTAACAAAATAACTAGAAACTGATATAGCTATTCTGAAAGAAGTTAGCATCCAATGACATATACGTAAATCAAATTACCTTTTGGAAAAGGAGAATGCCATCTTAGATCTTAAGGAAATGCTACTGGTTATGGAATGAATATGTGTGGGGATGGCCTTCTTAGCCATCTATTTATAGAAGACACAAGAACCCTATATGCGTGACACATATACATACACACATACACACATACTCTCTCACTCTCACTCTCTCTCTCTCTCTCTCACACACACACACACAAGGTGAGATATTGAGAGATGGTTTTGGCCTTTTGTAAATAAATATCTAAATGACAGACATGCAGTCGAGGTGCATGGAAAACATGTACGATCAAATTCGTGAGATGTAGTGAAATGCACCATCTTAACCATAGTTTGGTGTCGTGCCTATCTAAATCGAAAATTGAATATTTGCAATAATTTTCTTTATAGTATTTGGTATATATATATATTTTTTTATCTAAAACATATTTATTTTTTTTATAACTATCTTATTTTATTAAAAAAAACTATTAAGACTCTCTTAAAGCATAATCATTTCACAGTTATATATATATATATATATATATATATATATATATATATATATATATATATATATATATATATTACAACATTATAAAGCATTTTGACTATATTTATTACAACTCATTCATTTATGATATATATATATATATATATATATATATATATATATATATATATATATATATATATATATATATATGGTTAATATGAGACGGCCTAATTTTGTGATACCGTGAGATGCAATCATAGCCACTCATTAAGTAGATAAAATAGAACTGGTTCTTGAGAGAGAAGGAGCTAGTAGGGTTTGAGCCAGAAGCAACATTATTTGAAGACATCTAAAAAAGAAGAAAGACAAGTTTAGATTAGATATAAAGATAGTCCTTAATAAAACACCCAAATGGAATATTAAAGATAGGACCTAACACAATATTTTATAACTTAGAAGAGAGATGCCGTAATCCAAGCTATAAAATATTTGAAGGTAGGTGAATGGCGATTCACCAATTTCCACCATGAAAAATGAAATACATTATTAGGTTTTAATTGGTTTTAAAACTCTTAGATTCTTTGAGATTCATTGAACTTTTGATGGGTTTTGAGCATTCTAACACTTCCTAAGTGTACATGCAACCCTAATAACCTCGGATCTATGTTTGTCTAATTATCATGCAAAGTTGATTTCCAAGGCTATGATCCTATCTAGCATACATGGGGAACAATTTTAACTTAAATAATAGATAGAACTACATACCTTGTTGTTGTAGGTGTTGCTTGAAACCTTGTGAGCCAAGCACCCCAAGTGTGATGCCGCAAATGCTTCACACAACACCAAATGCTATGGAGTAAACTTGGAGAGAATGTATAACACTCAAAATCGGCTCTAGCCCTCTTGTTTCTTGTCTAACCGATTTTGGGGAGAACACATGAGCTTTATATAGTGTTGACACATCTAGGGTTACACCCAAATGTGTCATGACTCTTCATTTCCATGACCCATGGGTTTGTAACTCCCATGGAGCCTCCATGGACCATCCAATGGATATAACCCATCTTGATTATCCACGGAGCCTCTTAGCCCACTATATAAGTTACGATGATTTACATAATCAATCCATACATTTAATTAGTTGTCTTTTGATCACTTAATTAATTCTAAATTAATTCTTGATCAAACTAATTAAATAATATTGTTAATATATTAGAACTTATAATATATTAATAAACCATATGTGTTATTTCTCTCATTTAGTTTATCCAATTGCATGGTGCCATGCAACCCAAATGGACCATGCGGGTCGGCTCAAGTGTTTACCGGAAATAGTTATGGACTTAGACACGTTAACCAACACTTTTCAATGGCATGTTTCAATCTCGAGTGTGCCCTTCAAGTTTTGTGACTGGGATGCTAAGGATCACAAGACAAGGTGTGAAGCAACCATGCAAATTACTTGGTACCCTTAATGTTTATCACTCAATCGATGTGCCGGTTAACCACACGCACTCCACCGACCTATGATAAACCTTAAGTTTCCCTTTTCCTACCTTTTTAAGTCTATGTTAGTGTGTCGGTTAACCACACATGCTCCACTAACGTCTTAAACAAAGTACAAAATGTAATTTCATGGGTCAGCACCTTATTCACATGTTCCTAAAGTAACTAAGATTGGGAATCTATAAAACATTTAGTTATTTACTTTCATCATACTTTTACTGAGGATTTAAAGTCATTGTCCTACCCGTTTGGCTAACGACCCTCCACCAGTCAAGGAATAGGTGGGTGAGAGCGGACACCCATTAAGCTGCCATTTTATAGGCAACAGCCTTCTAACACCCCCCCCCTTATAGACCGGCTTCGTGAATGATCCCTACTAACGGTAAAACGACTTTTAGTTGCCATATATATATATATATATATATATATATATATATATATATATATATATATATATATATATAATTTATAATATTATAAAGTATAAGGGTTGAATTTTAACTTTTAAAACTCTAGGGGTTGGAACTAAAGTTTTTAAAGAGACTTTACAAGTTCCAAAACTTGAGGGCAAGTTTTGTAACTTTCAAAACCTTTCATTTTTCACAACTTATGAGTTAATGGTTTATTAAAATGAGAGACTTTTCATTTTATCTAACCTACGTGTTTAATAATGGACTTTAAAAGTGTGACTTTTGGTAATCTATAACTTGAGGACAAATTTTGGATTCCATTAAAACACATCAAGATCAAGAATTAAACTACCAAGTAAGTTACAAATAATTCCTATGATCTTCTAAACTCATAAGTTCATGAATGTTCGTATCAAGAATTTCAAGAATCATAAATAAACCATACAAAACTTGAAAATTTGATATTATCCATTGAAAATGGATTAGCACAACCATTATACCATCTAAAACAAGTTTTACAACACGAAACAGTTTAGGGTAATGTTTCTAGTCCTTTTCTAGCAGCAAAAGTCGATAAACTACACTCTGACAAGCCAACTCGTCGAGTGCACGAACTGAGTCGCCGAGTTGGTTGAAGAAAGGCATGGACTCGTCGAGACCCCCCATGAACTCGGCGAGTTCACCTAGGCATAAAACAGTTTTGTCGATTTTTTAACAAGTTTGCACCAAGTATCAAATAAACAAGCCTAGGATCTGATACCACTGAAAGGTTTTGAACATTCTAACACTCCTAAGGTGTACATGAAACCCTAGAAACCTTGGATCTATATTTTACTAAGATACATGAAAAATAATTTTCCAAGGTTCTTAACTTAGCTAGCATGGCATAGGGAACTTTAAAACATAATTGCTAGTAGTAGAACATACCTTTTAGTTGCTTGGATTCCTTGAAAACCTTATGATCCTATCACCCCAAGTGTGATGTCTCAAATGTCTCACACAGCACCACAACACTTAGAATAACTTTGAGAGAAGTACACTTACACCTCAAAATTGGTTAGCCCTCTATTACTTGCTTGTAGTCAAGATCTTGGTTAACATGGGGTCTTTATATAGTTGTGTCACAAGTAGGGTTACACCATGTAAAAACATAATTATCATGGCTTTCCATATTCCATGATCCATGGGTTTGTAAGCTCCATGTATTATCTATGGAGCACCTTATGGATTTTAACCCAATCCGTACAGACCATGGATCATTAACCCAACTATACAAGAATAGATGATTTACACAATCAAACTTATATATTTAATTAGTCTCCTTTTGATCGCTTAATTAATTCTAAATTAATTCTTGATCAATAATAATTAAAGAATATTATTAACATATTAAAACTTATAATATATTAATAAGCCTTAAGTGTTATTTCTCTCATTTAGTCTATTTCAAGTGTTGAAATGCCAGGCAACCCAAATGGACCATGCTAACTGGGTGAAGTACATTCCAGGAATAGTTATGAACTTAGACACCTAATCCAACACTATCAAGATCTATGCTTATCCTTCCATAGATGAATATGGTATCATGCACTCAAGCAATCGGGCGAGTGAGGAGTTGTCAATTCCAAATAGCACTATTCATAATGACCATTGGCTCAAAGAGTTAATGGTTGGAGTAAAGTGGAAAGGACTTAAGACGATAAGGCCTCATGTTCTAAGAATAACATACAAATACACAACAAAATATAGCAAAATATAGCAATCAAGTTTGATACAATTCAATATAAACACATCAATCATAAATAGTTTGCACATGCTTTTCCACCCACAAAACATAAAAAAAAGTAGGGAGAAGGTGTGAATACTCATGATGTTTCAAGTAGCTACAACGGGTACTTCGGAATTCACCAATGCCTTTACTATCGGGATCCTACGACATTAAACACAAGCTAGTGAGTGTCAATGTCAAAATCTAAGACTAATATACTAAAATCTACATATAGAGAAATGCCAAATTTTTGTTCTAATATTGGTTCTATATTGAATGGGTAACAATTTTTCTGAAATGGTGATATTTTGTAACTCATGTGATTAACATAATTTTGTATATTATTTTCTAGGTTTTTGTAATATTAATTAAGGGTATTTCAACACATTTAATGGTGTTTTAAACTCCTTAATATACAAAAAAAATTATCAAACAAGTTCAAAAATTCATCAAATTTTACATTTTCGTTCCAAATACAGTAGAGGTCTTCCATAAATTTTCCCTTGAATTTTTGGTGTGATTAACTATTTTTCCAAATTTTTAAGCCTTCATAACAATATAAATTAGTGAAAAGTAGCATCCAGATGATCAAAATTCCCAAACGTTTTATAATATTGCCATTAAACATACATAGGTTGGCAAATAAAATATAAAAATGGGTTTCTAAACAGTTTAACCTGATTTTATGATTTTTGTAACACTATTATCATGGTTTTAATACCATGCATGGACATGTTTTGTTCATAGTGATGTTTGCTAAGGAAAAACTTCAATGCATAAGGTAGATGAATCTTCAAAACTTGTAAAATTCGTATTTCAGGGTTTGACATATGTTTTGATGCTTGGATTTCACCATCAAAGAACATACATGTTCTTGGGTGAAACCCTACCACCACCATCATCAAACTTAAAATTCATGGATATGTTC